CTTTGAAAAAGCGCCGAAGCCGGCGATTTGTGTGTGTCCACCCCTGGACAAAGGGTTCTCAACCAACTTCGGCAGGGGCACTGAGCACTCCTTAGCAAACTCAGTGCAACGAAGCTATGCCTTGGAGTGGGAAGCACGGATTGATTATTCGTGTGTACCTGGGAGAAACTTTTCTACAAGCTGTGACTCTACTCTCCACTTTTTGTTTCATGGTTCTTGCATGCTACCACCCCTAAACAGGTTTTCACGCCGCTGTGCAGCCGCTTTCACTTTTGCCACGTTGTCTTGCAACTGAGCCGCGCCGACCGATCGTTCTGCAGACTGACCAACAACTTGTTGAAACACCTACAAGTCTTTCGGACCCTCCACCATGCAGTTTTGTCACCTTCCTTCCCAGCGTGGTAACTGAGTCACTGAAAACCAATGTCAGAGTGTGAGAGTGTGGTGGGGTGCGTTGTTCCAGAAGCCTTCAAGGAAAAGTGTCCTGATCAGGGGCACTTACTATGCTCACCTTTCCTTAACCATGCTCTCTGCTGATTACCTTGTTTTGACTCTGTTGAGTCCAAGTTCGCAGGGGTGGGCAATTTTGAGGTTGAACTTTGATTAAGGAGCCTTCACTTTCAATTTGATGACCCTGTAGGTGTCACTCTGCCCACGGCCCTTGCGGTATGCCAATTGGATTGGCGTATGAGGGCAAACAGAAGTGGCACAGGTGCCGGAGTTGGATGGAGGTTTTGGTTTGGATTTCTGGTGACTCTGGTATTGCAGAACGAAGGCGGGATATCATGGATGCGATGTCATGCGTGTGCAAGTTGTGTCGGTCCAGGCGCAGCACTTTGTAAACCTCGAAGCGCAAATTTCAAGGCAGGCGTAGTACTTTGTGAACCTCGCCGCACAGCTTTCGTGGCATGTTGTGCTTTGCAAACCTGGAAGTTCAGATTTCGTGCCAGGCACAACGTTTTGTGAACCTCCAAATGTGCACTCTCATATCTATTCTCTTATATGGCTCTTTTATGGGTGCTCTCCTGCATGTGCGCTCACATGTGTGTGCTTTCATGTCTTTCATACCTGTGCTGTGCTCTCGTGTGTTTGTTTGCATTTGTGTACTTTGATGTCGGCTCTTTCATACGTGTGCTCTTTCATACCTGTGCTCTCATTGTGTGCTCTCCATAAGTACTGTCTAACAGGTGTGCCTCTTTTATGTATGCTCACATATGGGTACTCTCAAGGTGCGCCATTTCCTGCGTGCACTTGCTTTTGTGCTCCTGACTCCTTAACAGTGATTAGGATCTCTTGAGTGGGGAAAGGCCGGGCCGATGTTGGGCCAGTGCCCTCTTGGCAATGCTGAGGGAGTGCAGTAAAGTCTGCACAGGTTCACTTCCACACGTGTGGCCGTGTCTCAGCTAGCATCTAGACATGCGATCGCTGCGAATGAGCCAAAGTGCATCCAGCTGGCTGTGCTGACGTGTTGTAGTGTAGTACAACTCGTTGTAAGAAGGAACATGAGCGGAATAGCGACTATTGGAGCTATTCAGGCTCAAAACTTGACGAAGGGAGTGATCCTTCGTCTTGTCCAGGCCCGTCTGACATGAACCTCGTGACCAGCCAGTCCCTGGTCTCGTGGACACTCAGGGAGCTCAAGGTGATCACTGAGGATGCCTCCTGACCTGCGCCGCGCTTTCGCGGCCTTGATGACGTGGTGTACGGCATGTCTGTGTCTGTTGAGGGGCTTGCCGAGAACGCAGCCTCACGGACCTCCTGGAGATCGTAGAAGCTGTGGCGGCCACACTTCGCCTACACCCAGGGCAAGAACGGACGCTCCTGCCGTCCCTTTTGAGTGAGGTCTTTGTGAAGGCAGTAGATGGAGTCTACCGCCGCCGGTTCCAATCTGCACGCGGCTCACATGGCTCAGACCCGCAGCGGGAGGCGACGTTGCTCCTGAGCGTTTCACGCCTGGTTTTCCTTTTTTTTTTGGCAAAATCACTACGGGCGCCGTCGCCCACCGGGAAGGGAGTCGTCGGACCGCCCCTCGACTGTCGCTCGCGACCGATCTGGCCTGGTGGTCCACGCGTCCGTCGGGGCCGTGTTGCGTTTTTCTTGGTGAGCCGGCTGGTCCCGGGCGTTTCCTGGGCTTTTTCGATGGCCGATCGGCCCGGGTTGTCGCGGCTTTCCGGTTCGGTGCCCGGCCGTCGTGTGCGTTCGGCGGGGTTTTGTTCCGGTTTCTAGGAGTCCAGGCCGGCCCCGGGACGATCCCTGGGTTTTTTCGATCGCCGGTTCTTGCGCGATGACGCGTGATCGTGGTTTCGGGTCGCGGTCGTCGTGCGACTCTTTCGCTGGACCCTTACGGCTCCATGATTCATGAGACGATGAGTCACGCCCGCGGCCTGGTCGCCCTCAAGGACGCCCGGCGCTGGATCCCCGACTAGGGCCCAGCTCCCTCCACTACATCGCGCAGAGGTTCAAGGAGCGGACCGCGGCGGAAGCCTCGATGCAACTGGCCCTTTAGGCGGCCCAGCCAACCAGGCGGCTGCCAGCCTCAGAGCACTCGGGCAAGACATGCGAGCGCCCTCCACAGCCGTCCGTTGACAGCAGCCTCCGGACTTGCAGCCGACTAGCACGGCCTTGGGACATTCGTGGACCGGTTCGCGATCGAACCCTCTAGTCGTCCCACACCGCAGAGAGCGCAGGGCACTCCAACGGTGACACCATCGAGATCATCCGATCGGTCCTCAGTCAGGAGCGACTCCTGCTTCCGTAACAGAACTGCAGAGGCAGGTACTGCCCATGGCGAATTCAGTCGAACAGCTCCAGAGCTCAGCCCGACCACGCAGTGAAGGCACCTTGCTAGTTTAAAATAGAAATCGAGTCACCCACAGGGGGGGCGTCGACGAACAGTGCATCACCGCACCGCGTACCGCCTGTGGTCGACTATTTAGAATAGACGACAATTTTTCTACCCATTCCCCCTTCAGTGGAAGGGCGATTCCCATCTTGCGCGAAGTGTTTCACTGGGGAGTCGGAACAAGCATCTGGGCCGATGACTCCCCCGTTGATGGATTGACCCCTCCGCATGAGCCAGAGGTGGCGAGCAGAAGATGCTGCAACTCGTTCCGTCGCCGTCGGCCGCTAGGCGGCCCACCCGGGTGTTCTGCGCCCGTTGTTCTTTTCAAGTTCTTCCACCCGTTTTTCTTGTCGGGGGCTGTTTTCGCTCGCCCTTTTCGGGTCGCCCGGACCGTTCGGTCGCGCTGTCGACGTCGAGTCGTGTGTTGATGCAGGTTCAGGCAACCAGGGCATGAGTTCTGTGCCTCTTGCAGATGCGCTCAGTTGAATTTGTAGCTCGCCGATCTCGACTTGTCGGCCGGGCTTCCGTGTCGAACGCACAATACATCACCCTTCAGCTCGGGATCTCAGTTGTAGGGGTACGAAAAGGCCGGCGATGGCGACGTCCCTGCCGACGCTCGATGAAGTGCTCGCCAACGCTGGCGTTGACAGCTTGGTGGTTGACTACATGAGGTCCAGAGGGATCACAGCAGTGGGCATTCTTGCCAAGGTTGCTCCCACGGCGGATGCCCTACGTACCACGTTGGTACAGCCCCTTCTTGCCGGGCACAAGAAGGGGGAGCTTCAAATCATCGTCGATGAGGCAGACAAGCCCATCGTGGAGGCAGTGATGATCGCTGCCTGGAGAAGCTTTGGGCACAACATCTTCGGATGCCAGCGCTCCCGGCGGCCGCTTCGCCATGGGCTGTGGGGACAGGTGCGGAGACTCCCGACGGCTCAGACGAGAAGCCGCCCAAGCAACTGCCCACAGGCGTATGGGACGCCGCCATCCAGCGGTTCAACGCAGTGGAAATTCAGGGCATCCCACGTAGCTTTCCGGAACGAGAATTGCTCGGAGCAGAGGCCACGCTGGCCCGAACGCGCCAGGAACACACAAAATCAAAGTTGTACACCCCCGTAGGCCTGACGGTAGCCTTCATCAGTTTCTTCCACCGCTGATGTCAGCGGATTTTCTCGGGATGACGCCCGGAACTTGTAGCTTTCCTCTTTTTCTTTCACCGCTGATGTAAGCGGTTTTCTCGGATTCGACGCTGCCCGACGGTAGCCTTCCTCGATTTCTTCTACCGCTGATGTAAGCGGATTTTTCTCGGGATGATACCCGGGCCTTGTAGTTTTCCTCATTTTCACTCACCGCTGATGTAAGCGGTTTTTCTCAAGTTCGACGCCTGACAGTAGCCTTCATCATTTTCTTCCACCGCTTATGTAAGCGGTTTTTCTCGGATTAGACGCTGCCTGACGGTGGCCTTCATCAATTTCTTCCACCGCTGATGTAAGCGGTTTTTCTCGGGATGATACCCGGGATTTGTAGTCTTCCTTATTTTCCTTCACCGCTGATGTAAGCGG